TGATCACACCATCCTGGTTATCTGGGTCATGAAGATCTTTTTTTATATAGTCCTTCTGTGTATTTTTGCCACCTCTTCTTAATATCTTCTGCTTCTGTTAGGCCCATACCATTTCTATCCTTTATGGTGCCCATCTTTGCAGAAATTTTCCCTTAGTATCTCTAATTTTCTTGAAGAGATCTGTAGTCTTTCCCATTCTATTGTTTTCCTCTATTTCTTTGCATTGATCACTGAGGAAGGCTTTCTTATCTCTCTGTGCTATTCTTTGGAACTCGGCATTCAAATGGGTATATCTTTCCTTTTTTCATTTGCCTTTTGCTTCTCTTCTTTTCTTAGCTACTTGTAAGACCTCCTCAGACAACCATTTTGCCTTTCTGCATTTCTTTTTCTTGGGGATAGTCTTGCTCCCTGCCTCCTGTACAATGTCACGAACCTCTGTCCATAGTTCTTCAGGCACTCTGTCTATCAGATCTTATCCCTTAAATCTATTTGTCACTTCTACTGTATAATCATAAGTGATCTGATTTAGGTCATACCTGAATGGTCTAGTGCTTTTCCCTACTTTCTTCAATGTAAGTCTGAATTTGGCAATAAGGAGTTCATGATCTTTCCTTAATATTTGGAAAATTTACCAGTGAACCCACCCAGGTCTGGTACTTTCCATTTTGAAAGGTTATTCATTACTGATTCAAATTCTTTAATAGATATGAGTCTATTCAGGGTATTTTTTCTGTTTGTTTGAGTTTTGGCAGATTGTGTCTTTCAAGGAATTGATCCACTTCATTAAATTATAAAATGTGTGGACATAGAATTATTCATGCATTGCGTGCATGCTCAGTCATGTCTGACTCTTTGCAACCCTATGGACTGTAGTCTATCAACTCCTCTGTCCATGGGATTTTTCCAGGCAAGAATACTAAAGTGGTTTCCATTTCCTACTCCAGGGATCTTCCTAACCCAGGGATGGAACCCGCATCTCTTGCGTCTCCTGCATTGGCAGGTGGATTCTTTACCACTGTACCACCTGGGAAGCCCCTCAGAATTCATAATGTTCATTTTTTATCCCTTCAGGGATCATGGCTTCTGTTTCATTTCTGATTTTAGTAATTTATATCTTCTCTCTTTTTTTCTTGATTATCCTGGTAGAGGTTTGTCCATTTTATTGATTTTTTTTTTTTAAGAAAGCTCTTGATTTTGCTGACTTTTCTCTGTTATTTTCCTGTTTTGTTATTTCATTCATTGCTTTTTTTTTTCTTCTGCTTGCGGTAGGCTTGTATCGGTCTTCTTTCTCTAGTTTTATAAGGTGGAAGCTTATATTACTGATTTTAGATCTTTCTTCTTTTCTAATATATGCGTGCAATGCCATAAATTTCTCTCCAGGAGCTGCTTTCACTCCATCTTGCAAATATTCATAGGTTGTATTTGCATTTTCATTTAACTCAAGATAATTTGTTTTATTTCTTGTGAGACTTCCTCTTTGACCCATCTGTTGTTTAGAAATGTGTTGTTTAATCTCCAAATATCTGGGGATTTTCCATCTATCTTTCTGGTAGTGGTTTCTAGTTTAATTCCAATGTGGTCTGAAAACAGTTCAGTTCAGTTCAGTTCAGTCGCTCAGTCGTGTCTGACTCTTTGCCAACCCATGAACCACAGCATGCCAGGCCTCCCTGTCCATCACCAACTCCTGGAGTCCACCCAAACCCATGTCCATCAAGTTGGTGATGCCATCCAACCATCTCATCTTCTGTCATCCCCTTTTCCTCCTGCCTTCAATCTTTCCCAGCATTAGAGTCTTTTCAAATGAGTCAGCTCTTTGCATCAGGTAGCCAAAGTATTGGAGTTTCAGCTTCAACGTCAGTCCTTCCAGTGAACACCCAGGACTGATCTCCTGTAGGATGGATTGGTTGGATCTCCTTGCAGTCCAAGGGACTCTCAAGAGTCTTCTCCAATACCACAGTTCAAAAGCATTAATTCTTCGGCGCTCAGCTTTCTTCACAGCCCAACTCTCACATCCACACATGACCACTGGAAAAACCATAGCCTTGACTAGATGGACCTTTGTTGACAAAGTAATGTCTCTGCTTTTTAACATGCTATCTAGGTTGGTCATAACTTTCCTTCCAAGGAGTAAGCATCTTTTAATTTCATGGCTGCAATCACCATCTGCAGTGATTTTGGAGCTCAGAAAAATAAAGTCAGCCACTGTTTCCGCTGTTTCCCCATCTATTTGCCATGACGTGATGGGACTGGATGCCATGATCTTAGTTTTCTGAGTGTTGAGCTTTAAGCCAACTTTTTCACTTTCCTCTTTCACTTTCATCAAGAGGCTGTTTAGTTCTTCACTTTCTGCCATAAGAGTGGTGTCATCTGCATATCTGAGGTTATTGATATTTCTCCCGGCAAACTTGATTCCAGCTTGTGCTTCCTCCAGCCCAGCATTTCTCATGAGGTACTCTGCATATAAGTTAAATAAGCAGGGTGACAATATACAGCCTTGACGGACTCCTTTTCCTATTTGGAACCAGTCTGTTGTTCCATGTCCAGTTCTAACTGTTGCTTTCTGACCTGCATACAGGTTTCTCAAGAGGCAGGTCAGGTGGTCTGGTATGCACACACTTTGCATAATTTCTATTCTCTTTACATTTGTTGGAGTATGTTTTGTGGCCCAGAATGTGGTCTGTTTGGTGAGTGTTCCACATGAGCTTGAGAAGGATGTGTGATTGGTTGATGGGTGAAGTTGTGTGGCTGTCTGTTAGATCCAAATGATTGATAGTGCTGTTCAGATCAACTTTATTCTTACTAATTCTCTGCCTGCTGGGTCTGCCCATTACTGACAGAGGGATGCTGTGGTCTCTAGCTGTCATGATGGATTCGTCTGTTTCTTCCTGCAGTTCTGTCAGTTTTTGTCTCCCATATTTTGATGCTTTATTGTTGGGCACATGTAACGAAGGACTGTTACATCATCTTAGAGAATCAATCCCCTTATCATAATATAACACCTCTCTTTATCCCTGATAACCTTCCTTGCTCTAGTCGGTTCTATCTGAAATTAATGTAGCTACTCCTGCTTTCTTCTTGTGTTTCAACATTTAAATGTCCAAGTGATTGGTAGGAATTTGCAAAGTGGGGAAGGGCACAGCCATTTGAATCAGGCAAACCTGGGTGCAAAGCCAGGCGAGTCAAGCTGGGTGACATGGGCACACCTCATCATTCCGTGCCTCCGTTTCCTCATCTAAAAAGTCAGGAACTGTCAGACCTACTGCATAGCGCAGGGAACTATATTCAATATCTTGTACTAACTGGTAATGGAAAAGAATATGAAAAAGAATATGTTATATGTGTGTGTGAGTGTGTGTGATGTAATCACTTTGCTACACACCAGAAACTAACACAACATTGTAAATCAACTATCTGTGCTATGCTCAGTTGCTCAGTCATGTCCAGCTCTTTGCAACCCCATGGACGTAACTCACCAGGCCCCTCTGTCCGTGGGGATTCTCCAGGCAAGAATACTGGAGTGGACTGCCATACCCTCCTCCAGGGGCTTTTCTCAACCCAGGGATCGAACCCATGTCTCCCGCATTGCAGGTATACTCTTTGCCATCTAAGCCACCAGGGAAATGTTTAAATGAGGCAGTGCCCCTTTGGATTATTGTGAAGATGTGGGATGTGTATATAATATAAGTGGAATGTTAGTATAGATTTCTAAGTCCAAGTACTCTTTATGAAAGTTGAGTGAGGCACTCTGAGGAGAATTAACTTAGAAAATAATTGTGAAGTCTCAGGCTGGAGTGGATGGCTCATAGGCAGTGTGCTGAAAAGACAGAAAACTTCATACACACCCTGCAGCCTATAGTCCAGGGCACCCAGGCAGGTGGGATGTGATATTTCCTCCTTGGTGCTGAGTTTTGCTCACTCTTCTTGTTAAAGTGAAATTGCATAGGAGCCCTCTGCCCCCACTGCCAGTTCACTGTCTGAAATCCCTTTCTTTAGGGTGAAATGTGGTCACACCAGGGCCCCTACTGAAAACCAGATCATCTTCGGTTAGATAAATTCTGATTAGCTTTTAAGAAGCACTAGAAATAATCAATCACATGGGAAAACCAAGCCTTTTAAAAAGTAGTTATAAAACCTGTTGTGGGATTTTCCTGGTGGTCCCATGGTTAAAATTCTGGTCCTCCAGTGCAGGGGGTGCAGGTTTGATCCCTGGTGGGGGAACTAGATCCCATATGCCATGCCCAAAATAAATAAATTAGTAGGATATAAATTAACAAAAAAGAAAAAGATGAGAAAATTTTATTTTAGAAATTTATTTATTTCATAAATAGAAAGATGGTAAACATAGGAAAAAGACTGGAAGGATGTGAATCGCTGTGTTCAGACAGTGCTTGCCTCTGGGGGACAAGAGTCTAAGTGATTTTAATGTCTTCTTTATGTTTTTCTCTAGCTCTCATTTTCTGCATTGTTAAGAAAAGCGTGTTCTTCTAAAAATGAATAGAACAAACAAATGAAAACAACAATCATTATAAAACCTCCCCTTAACTTTAACACTTGCAGTAAGTAGTTGAGTCACTTGCCAGCTGAGCTTTCTGGTTTGTGTTGGGCCATTTCTGCTATCTTGCCATTTGGGACAACCCAAAGTATACTCGCATGGGATCATAGAAATACAGACTGGCCAATTCCTGACAAGTTCCCCCAAGTTCCCTCTTGCCTCTTCTGTGGTGCCTGACTGTCTGTTCAACAACTTGGGCACCTATTCTGCGTCTGGTGTCAAACAGAGCCCATGGCCCTCTGTTCACTTGCTGTGTGGCCTTAGGCAAGTCACTTAACCTCTCTGAACTTCAGCATCCTCCTTAAAAGGAGGACTGCAGTGACCATCCAATCAGATGAAGCCATTAGCACATGGAGGCACCCAGCGTCAGTATCACTAGTAAGGACTAAGGCCTCCCTCCTTATTCCTGTTTTCCCGGCTCTGACTGTCCCCCCTCCTCCCGTTTCAGTCTGCAGACATCGACAACCATCACGCGCTCATCGAATATAATGAGACTGAGGGCAGCTTTGTTCTCCAGGACTTCAATTCCCGCAGCGGCACCTTTGTCAATGAGTGCCACATTCAGAACGTGGCTGTGAAGCTCTTACCGGGAGACCTCCTGAGGTTCGGGACTGGAGGGCTGACCTACGAACTGGTCATCGAAAACCCAGCTTCGGTGAGTCCAGGCCCCTGCGGGGTGGGGCTTGGGCGGCAGAGGTACCTTCCGTGCAGCTCGGGGCTCAGATGCGGCCAAAGGTGGAGCTGGTCCAAAGCGCATCACTTTGCCCTCAGCTACACACACAGGCAGCCACAGGACTCAATTCTGTGAAGGTCAGACCCATCAGGTGGGTCCCAGGGAGGAGCGAGTCCCGGCGCCCTCTACTGGGAATTTCTCAGAATTACAGGCAAGAGTTGCCTAGCAACCAGCCCAGAAGTAGTGTCTTTTCCTGAAAAGTGAAGTTTGCAAGCAGGGATGGAAAGCAGGTGTGTGCTTTTGAAGATGCAGAGATGGATGCTTCGTTTTTAGGCAGATCAGTGCTCTACAACTTCCTAGCTTTGAGACCTCGGCCAGGGTTCTTTGCATGCCTGAGTCTGGGTGTTACCAACGGTGCAGGGCACTGAGAGAGTATAGAAAGGGTTATCAGCCTTGTTGGGAGGGCCAGAGGTCCCCAAGTGGCAGGAGGAGATAAACTGCGAGTGGCAGACGTTTTTTTCCTTCTCTTTACAAAATTAAAACTCAGCATTCAAAAAACTAAGAACATGGCATCCAGTCCCATCACATCCTGGCAAATAGTTGGGGAAACAATGGAAACAGTGACAAACTTTATTTTCTTGGGCTCCAAAATCACTGCAGATGGTGACTGCAGCCATGAAATTAAAAGACACTTGCTCCTTGGAAGAAAAGCTATGACAAACCTAGACAGCATATTAAAAAGCAGAGACATTACTTTGCTGATAAAAGTCCATCTAGTCAAAGCTATGGTTTTTCCAGTAGTTGTGTGTGGATGTGAGAGTTAGATAATAAAGAAGGCTGAGCACCAAAGAACTGATGCTTTTGAACTGTGGTGTTGGAGAAGATTCTTGAGAGTCCCTTGGACTGCAAGGAGATCAAACCAGTCCATCGTAAAGAAAATCAATCCTGAATATTCATTGGAAGGACTGATGCTGAAGCTGAAACTGCAATATTTTGGTCACCTGATGCAAAGAACTGACTCATTAGAAAAGACCCTGATGCTGGGAAAGATTGAAGGCGGGAGGAGAAGGGGACGACAGAGGATAAAGATGGTCAGATGGCATAACCGACTCAATGAAAATGAGTTTGAGCAAGCTCCTGGAGATGGTGAAGGACAGGAAGCCTAGCGTGCTGCAGACCATGGGATCACAAAGAGTCGGACACAACTGAGCAACTGAACAACAATACAAAATTAAAGGAGGTTTCTTCTAATCCTGTGTTTCATGGTGACACCTGGTTCTGCCTGAACTTAACTTTTCTCAAACCTTGAACTAACCAATGTGTTTTTCTTATGGAAATGTTTTTCTTAAGCTATGTTAATGAAGCTATATATTTGCTTTGGAATCTGCCTTTCTTCAAGATTCATGTCAATTGTTTGATGGCTGGAGATGACTCCCCTTGTTCCAATGCTATCTCAAAATGCATGTTATAGGAGAGGGGCTTGGTGCAGCTCTCTCAGTCTTGAGGTGTTTCTTTTATCTGATTAGCTGTTTGCTAACAGGTATAAAATACCTTGCCAAAAACTAGCCAGGGGGCACTGTCTCTGTCCCCTTCTGATGTCTGTTTCAGAAGCTTTCTCTATCCCTTTTATACTTTTGTTTGTTTAATTTTAATTGGAGGCTAATTACTTAACAATATTGTGATTTTTACCATACATTGATTCAAATTAGCCACGGGTATACACGTACTCTGCTACACAAAAGCTCCAAGTGATCAAGTCTCGTCTCTGGTCCCAGATTGAATGCCTCTCCTCTGGAGACAGTGAATCCCCAGTGTAACTCACCGCTCACAACCATAACCTTTCAGTATCTATGTGTAAAAAGTCAAAATTATTGTCTGGTGGAAATAGACACTCCACACCTGGTAACTGTCCTCACACCTTAGATCAGAAATGTCCCTGGATCAGGACCTAAAGGGTAGGCCCCGGGGTATGGCCCCAGGTTAATCAGAACATAACCCCAAACTCGCCCATCAAAGCTCAGTAGGGAGACAGGGTGGAGGGTGGTTAGCAACACAGGCCTGGGTCAGAACCCCAGCTCTGCCACTGGCCCACTCAGTGTGCTCTTGCTCAAGCCACTGGACCCCTCAGAACCTCCATTTCCTCACCCACCAATGGGGCCAATGGCAGTAATGTCTTTGCAGGCTTGTCTCAAGGACTGAAAGAGATGGTTATAACTAAAACCCCAGCCCAGTGCCCGGTCCTTGTGAGCACACAATTAACACCTGTTGTGCGTGTCCCAGAGAGACAGTGTGTTCATCTCACCCCCGCAACCAAGAGTGCTGCGTGGACTGAGACCCCTAGGTGTAAAATCCTTTCTGGGACGAGACTAGATATAAATAAACAAAGCTTAGAGACTCTGGACAGAATCCTGGGTGTGGGTCCCATAGGCAGCCTAAATACTCACTCTGAGATCAGCAGCATCCCTCGGACTTCAGGGGCAGTGGCGCCACATCCATCACCTTCGGCTTTGCAGATCTGGGGCAGTTTTCTTCTAGCGCTGCTCAGCCTCCTTTTCCTCCTTGGACCAGCATTAAAGGGTGCTCTCTGGTGAGATACACCTGGGTCCTCTGGCCACCCTGAGGAGGGGCTCCTGACCCTGCTGTGTTAATCAAGGATCCTCTACACAGGCTCTAGGGATCCCCCTCATCAGAACTATGTGGGGAGCAGACCCACAGTGCAGATCTGAGGCTCAGCCCAGGCCTGAGGACTCATACTTAGGGTTCCCAGATAAAATACAGGATGCCCAGTTAAATCTGAATTTCAGATAAACGCCAGATAATTATTTTATACATGTGTGTCCCAGATATTGCAAGGAACCACTTATGGTAAAAGAAGTTATCTGGTGTTTGTCTGAAACTCAGATTTGACTGGTACCCTACATTTTATTTAAGTATTTCTTTATTTATTTATGCAAAATCTAGCAACCATACACATCCTCCCTGGGAGTGGGGCCTGGGAATATGTATTCACTCAAGCTCACCCCCCAACAGTAGGGAAACCCAAATTTAGAATCGTTTGTATGGAGCACTTATAGAGTTGTTTGGGGATTACAGACCCCCAGGTTTGAACATCCAAGTTTGTGAAGTTTGAGTCAATGTTTCCCTAACATGTCTGATTACAAGAATTTTTCAGGAATGCTCAGTAAAATTACAGGTTCCCAGGCACCCTCCCTGGGAAGTTCTGACTTTCTGGCTTGCCTGTAGTGGGAGGAAGCAGGAGAGGGGGAGAAGGAGGCAGCAAATGATATCTGCATTTTTTTTCTTTTTTTCCATGCCAAGATATTTATTGAAATATCATTTATGGGGCATAAAATTTGAAGCCTAAGTCTTCATCAAAAGGGGGCATTGTTTAACAAATCATAAGGAGTTTGTTTATATAGGGAATTCTGTGCTGCCTTTTAAAAACACAGTTTTATTGATATATAATTAACATACAATAAACTGCACATTTAAATCTGTACTTGGATGGGCTTTGACATATGTGTACACCTTAGAAAAATCACCACAATCAAGACAGTGAACAAATCCTTCATCCCCCAAGGTTTCCTCTGGATCACAGCATGTGTGTGTTTGCTTGCTTGCTCTTAATAGCTTTGTGTGTACATGCTCAATCTCTGTGTTATCTGACTCTTTGCAACCCCATGGACCGTAGCCTGCCAGGCTCCTCTGTCCATAGGATTCTCCAGGCAAGAATATTGGAGTGGACTGCCATTTCCTCCTCTGGCTTAACAGCATCCAATCTCATTGAAGTACAATTTACATAACATAAACTTCACCCATTTTAAGTGTCCAGTTCAATTGTAGTACCTTTACATGTGCAGCCATCACCACAACCTGCTTTCAGAACATTTTCATCCTTTTCTGTCACCCCAAATGTCGGGAAACCTTGGAGGCACTTCATTTTTTAGTTTGCTTTTTAATTTTCAAAATTGTGGTAAAATACAGCATTTACCATGTTCACCTTTTTTAACAGTACAGTCCAGTAGCATTGAATGTATTCATACTGTTGTGCAGCCATCACCACCATCCAACTCCAGAACTCTTTTCATCTCCCCAAACTGAAACTCTACACCCATCAAATAAAAACTCCCTCGTCCTTCCTCCCATCCCACCAGTCTTTCTGTGTCTATGAATTTGACTATTCTAGGTACCTCCTATAAGTAGAATCTTACATTATCTTTCCTCTTGTGACCATCTTATTTCACTTAGTGTGATGTTCTCAAGGCTCATTCCAGCTGAATAATGTTTCATGGTACGTATTCACCACATTTTCTTTGTTCTTTTGTCCATCCATGGCCATTTGCTTCCACCTTTTGGCCATTTCAAGTAAGACTGTTATGAACATGGGTGTACAGATATGGAAGGGGGACTTTATTTTACAAGGTGCTTGTTATATAAGCATGGGAAACAGTGATGACAATCTCTGACCTTGAGTAGATGAGAAGGAAGAAGATGCTTTGTAAGAAGAGAAATCAGTATGGCAGCAGGAGGAATCGCTGACATGGACAGCACTGTGCTAAGCTTATTTCACTGTGCTTTCCCTGTTTCATGCTCACAGCAACCCATGACTTGGTTCTCTCATGATCCCCATTTTACAGACAAGGAATCCAAACCTCAGACAGGTTAAGTAATTTCCCCAGGGTCATACAACTAGTCAGCACGAATCAAACACTATCCCCACTTGCAGAAAAAGGAAGGGAGAAAACTATTTAGTTTGTTGCTGGCTGGAACAGTAGCCTCAATTGGTTTTCACAAAGAGCAAAGCATACTTTCACGGTCACTCAATTATACATGAATTTTTTTCAATTCTCATTTCTACACTCACTTGAGCCCTGCTTCATTCTTCCAGTGACTGCCTGCACAGGTGTTTCCCTGACTGTGCCCAGGTGACTTTGCAGGACTCTCCCCACATCTCATCTTCTCAAAAATGCTTTCTGCTGGTG